AAAACATTCTCTGAACACTGCGGGTAAAATGTGGTTTCAGGTCATATTTTCCAGATCATAAGGAATCCTGCAATGAAAATGCTAATAAATAAGGGCATTTTATGGATCCTCAAAACAACATTCAGTATATACATACTGATTTATATATATATATATATATATATATATATATATATATATATATATATATATATATATATATATATATATATATATTTATTTTTTTTTTTTTTACAGAAAACAGGTTTAAAAAAAACAAGAAATCAATCTACTTTTTTAAATTTTCAACTATATATGAAACATCTCCTCTGTAGTATTAGAATGCATAACAGAAGCATCCCACATGAAATCTGTTTTGCTTTCCCAACTGTCTAAAAGTATTTCTGTCCACTTGCTTTCATGTCTGAAACATGATGGCAGTCGAGGAGGGAAGCTTAGACAGAATTCTCCACCTTCAATGACAGTAGGATTGTTCCAGATAGCCAGTAAGCTACAGCTTCTGTTGCTCCTAGTGCTTTATAAGTTTTAGCAACCATATTGCTCTGCTAATTTTTCTGTTTATTTTTCGTCAGCTGCTATCATCTGTTAGTTACCAATTATTAACGCCAAGATTTAATGATTAAATACTGTACATTTTGCAAGTTACTGGACATACCTTTAGCTAATTTAACCCTTCATGTTTTTCGCTGTATGAAGAATGTCATAAATTTGTACAATTGTAGTAATTTTTCTACTGTTCAATAGAATCCTTTTATTGGAAATGCAGAGGCACGTTACTGCCACCAAGAAATTTTTTTCACCATAAACGCTTCACTCAAAGCTAAATACCAAGTTACAACACACTTTTCAGATTTGTTTTTGGTGGGGTTTTTTTTTTTTTTTTTAATTTGCAAAACCGTAGTTGTCTTAATCGACTTCAGAATTATGTACAACTATGATGAGATAGTTGTTGACATAAAATTATGAAAGATTATAATTGACGTTTGTGGGTTTATGTTGCCATAATAGATTTTTCTCTCCCTAAGACCATTGTGCTATTTGGAGAATGTGGGAAAAATGTGTGACTTATTTATGATGATGTAACCACGATCTGAAACAGATGAAAAGTAGCATATTTACTTCAGGATTTTTTTTTTTCTCTTTCGCTTTTCACAAAGCTGATTGGCTCATTTGTAATTGGGGTTTTTTAATGCTTTCAACTGTGACTTTGCAAGTTTTTGTATATTTATCACTAACCGGACAGGTAGCCAATAAGAGCGCCTTGCCGCACGAGCCCTCGCCTGCTCGGCACCGTTTCCCGCGCGCTTATTGGACAAGCAGAGGGAACCCCGACGTGTCACACGAGCCGCTCGCGTGCAGGCTGTGATTGTATAAATACCGAGCAGAAGCACTTGTGTCTGGAGTGCTGCAGTTTGACTCGGAGACAGTTCGTACTGCTGTCATTTGTTATAGTCAGCTAGCTACCCTGAGAGCTGCCAGGAAACGGCGGGACTGTCGGCCGTTTACTTTTCGGTTGTTTTTCGCTCTTGTGCGAACCTGAAGATGCCAGCCGGTACTTTCGAAAGAGCATCTCCGTCTGGCGTTGCGGCTGTCCCGGCAAGAGGCGACTGTACCCCAGGGAAACCCCGCACTCTGGCAGAGAACAGAAAGGTAGATTTTCTGAGCGCAATCATTTTAGTTACACATGTAATAACTTTTATACCCTAACAACAACACTAACTGCATTTTTACCTACTCGTGGAAGTCCTCCAAGCCAATTATGGAGAAGCGGCGACGCGCGCGCATCAATGAGAGCCTGGGTCAGCTGAAGACCCTCATCCTGGACGCGCTCAAGAAAGACGTAAGAGTCTGAGCGAGCCACTGTCAATGACTTCTCCAAATGTAATGAGAGTTTTAAGCACAGCTGCTCTGTTTTTGTATGAAGAGCTCCAGGCACTCCAAGCTGGAGAAGGCCGACATCCTGGAGATGACGGTAAAGCACCTGAGGAACCTGCAGCGGCTTCAGATGACAGGTGTGTAAGCTCAGTCACCCCGGTTTTAGGTTGGTATTAATAATTCATCTCTGGTACCTACTTTTTGACTGTGAAAATTTTGCCTAGAAGAGACTAATTACAGAGTTAAGAAAAGCACACTAACAGGAAAACAAGAACGGTTAAAATGTTACCAATTAAACTACTGTAACAATTTACATACCTTTTTTTATTTGAGAGTTATATATTTTATCCATCATTTGTTCTAGAAACTGTGCAAGTTTAACAGCTACAAAATAAATTAATTAGGCAATTGATCTGACTTAATTTTACATCTAATTAATTCAGACATTTTACTTAGTTATATTCAATGAATTAGAATATGCCTTCCAATGAGTCTTGTCAGATTAAACATATCTTTTGAAAATAACCTTCAAACAGGTATTAAACATACTTTTCATAAAGACCTCTTTTCTCTTTTAAAAATGTTGGTTCAGTGTACTGTAAGAAGAAAATAATTATTAGCAAAAATAAACGTTGTAAAGCATAATGAATGTAATTAATTAATACAACACATTTCACCTAGTGAATCGAGATGAAATTAACTTTTTAACAATATTCTAATTTATTGAGTATGACTGTAAATGATTAGTTTAATTATTCCAGTAAATAAGGGTGGGACTAATATTATTTTTAAAACAACTTCAATTGTAGATATTTGCATATGTGACAGTTTATATTTTTTTAATCTAACGGAAGTTCAAAAGGTCTGGACAAGCAACTAGATAACGGCATGTTTAAGATTTCTGTAGCCAGAATCATATCATGCATTTAAACGTTTAGGCTCATAAAGATAAATACACTTGATTTTTGAAATTGAAATTAAAATGAAAGTTTTACAGCTGTAGTCATTAGTGCATGCATGGACATTTTTTCAGTGTTATAAACCTAAGTTTGACTTCATCATTATGAATACCATCTCCAAATTATCTAAAAGCTGGACACAAAAACTCTGCTCCAAAACTTGAGCTTTCTTAACCACAAGTTTTATGACTGTACTAAACTTTTACAAAGTTGTTATATTCATTCACAACATGACGCATAAAAGCATATAAGGCTTAATGTTGGACACTTCACACAATGAATAACTGCTGACCAAACCTGCATCGTTAAACATTACATTTACAAGTAGCTTGATAAAAATAAAGCTAAATCAATCTCTAATATTTAAAAACCTCCACAGTATTTTTTAAGTGTGCTTAGCCTACCTATAACTCTCAGCTTAAAACCAAGCAGGACTCTCCGTTTTTAATCCTTTCTACCTAGTTGTGAGTGTTTTTGATGTATGTTAGGTTGTTTGCCCTTCTTTCCATTTCTTAACATTTTTATTTCTTCTCTAGCGGCTTTAAACACAGACCCATCCATCCTGGGGAAGTACCGAGCTGGGTTCAGCGAGTGTGTTGGAGAGGTTACCCGTTTCCTGTCCACGTGTGAAGGGGTCACGGCCGAGGTGAGGACTCGCCTCCTCGGCCACCTCGCGGCCTGTGTGACCCAGATTAACATGTATGGACCTCACCTGGGCGACCTGGGACAGACCAGCGGTACGCAGATCAGCGCGCCTCTGGGCCTGCGGGACCCCCTCAAGGGTGGCTCACTATCCACTGAAGCCATGAAACTGTATGGAGGCTTCCAGGTGGTGGCATCTCCAGACGGACACTTTGCGTTTCTTATTCCCGGCGCAGCTCTCACACCTCTGAGTGTACAGAACAGCCACCATGTGTCACCTGTCGCACCTGCTGTCACCTCAGACTCTATGTGGAGACCGTGGTAGGAACCATGGAGGCGGGAAAAAAATGACAATAAGACAATAAATCATATTTTTTGTTGTACATTTTGTAAATACTTTAGGGAATATTTCTTAACAGATTCTTTTATCTACATTTATATTGGCATACATGCATGGAAAGAGATATTTCTCTGTCTCTTTGCCTTAGTCGACATATAAAATGCTGATTGTTCTTAAAAGCACTGCCTGTTCATAAATAAACAAAACATGTTTATAATGTGTAAAAGATGTATTATTTAAAAAGAATAGCCATCTGACCATATCACTTTCATTTATTCTCTACCCACATTTGATTTTCTCAGTTTTGTGGCTGGATTAAATATTTATTTAAAGAGGTAAATGTCCTAAAACGGTTCCTGTCGTGTTCAAATAGACGAGACCTGACTCAAAAGTGTTCAAAATCTGAGTTTATGTTTATAAGACGCTGGCTCAGCAGGGTCAGTCTAAGTGTTGTCTATCATTAAGGCTGGGCATCTACATCTGTCCTGAATATTAGGCTGGGGATTCTACACAACTCTGTCTGCACAGATCCTGGAAAGACAAGGTGTTCCCACCAATAGACTGGTTTCTGAGGGATCACAACCTGCAGAATCTATCAGACCAGCTAAATCCAGCTGAACTCAAAATCACAAGAGTGATGGTTAAGAGATGTCTACAGTGTGGCTTGGAGGCCACTTGTGTGCCAACCCTGAATAGAAGTATCTAGTTTATTTACTATTGATCAACATTATTAGCTTTTTCTTCTTTTACTCTTTCCTCTGGTTTGTTATTTTGTTTGTATTTTCTTTTAGTTCCTGTAAAGCACTTTGTATTCCCTTGTTGCTGAAAATGTGCTATATAAATAAAATTACCTTTACCTTTACCTCTGGACTGATTTTGAGATCCACAGTTTGAGAAAGGTGCATATTACTGCCAGGCCAAACTAAAATAATTTATTTTTTTATCTGCAAATTTAAATAATTTTATATTAGGTGGCGCACAAAGTATTCATCTTCTAATAGTCATGGTTTTTACTTTCTTTTTAAATTCATAGTAAACAGGGTCACAAAATCCATTGACTTTTACTCAAACTCAGACGTGGATTCATGCAAGGCTGCAGTTAATTGATTTATTGATCTTTCCTAAACATAGCAAATGTTTTTCAAAAATAGGGTGGCCGAAACCATGTTCTTGTGGAAAAATCCTATTTTTGTGGCTCCCAAGCACTTTCAGCTTGACGACCTTGCCCCGTGTGGACACCACTAGTAATACATCAAACATACCAGTAGGTGGCAGTAAAATGAATATTCTCAGAATTCAGATAGGCAACATTTATTTTCCGCTCCACCCTAAAATAAAAGAGATTCATTACCTTCAAAGGTGGATTTAATCTAAATATGGTATGATCATCACTAGAAGATGTGTCCTCAGTCAGCATCATCCTCATAATGATGCAAACACTCCAGATCTATAGATAAGGCAAGTTTACTTCTATGGCACCCATTCATACACAGTGCAATCCGAAGTGCTTTCCAGGGTATTGGAAGAAAAGCAAAGAAAAAGCTTCTGTTAAAGTGCTGGTCCAAAGACATCTGTTTCACCTCAACAGATATTAAAACCCAGAACTTAATGTTGTGTTGTTTTAGTTAAGCTGAGAAGATGCCTGACAGTACAGAGAACTCAAAGACAAAACGAGAGCCCCTCCACTTATCACATCTTTTGAGAAGACCCTCCAAAACCCAAAAACAAAGACGGGCCCCCCTCAGTGGCACCTCTTATTGTGACCCTCTCCATCTTCATAAAGGGCCTTCCACTTGTTTATCCAAGAAAAGGTTTAATAGCAGGGAGGGGGAGGACCATGCTGTCACTTTCACCACCATAAAGAAGGCTTATTGTTGCTTGCTCCGTGAGGTCCTGTGCCTAAAGGCTTTCTTGAGAATAACCAGGCCACGCTGTGCTCTACACAGAAGTAGACCCCTTAAGACGCTGACAGTTTACTAAGCTATGTCACGGAAAAGTTGAGCAGCCTTGGGAGACACATATTCATTTGCTTTTATTCGTCTCCACGCTCCTACCTAATTTAACTCTTTTGGAGGAAGCGATACTGTCCCAGTCGTGGAGATTAGCATGGTAAACATGAAGCTGGGAAGGGCCTGTCCCTTCCCTCCGTTCCATGATTGATGGTGTCCTCTTAGAATTGGAGAGTGGACGGTGATAGTTTCCCTCTGACACACACCGGAAACCTCTGTTGCCTCCACCTCTCTGGGTGAATTGTTTTTAGAGCCGTTCTGGTGCTTGATGGGGGTCGAAGTAGGCAGAGGTTCACATCACAGTTAGGGCATATATTATGCACTCTGTATCAGTGGTGAATCAACAGTACTCTTTGTCACTTGACTCCAATTACAACAATATTTCTTTCTATTCTTTTTGAAGAACTTAGAAGTGGAGGAGAAGCTTCCGACAGCAAATGTACAATCCCACTGACAACGCAACAGGAAGATTTCACACACACCTTTCTTCTTCCAAATAATGTTTTTTTTTTTTTTTTTTTTTTAAAAAGGATTCCTCCTGTAGAAAACAGCAAAAATTATTCTTGTACATCAAAATCTGTTCTGACTCACTTGCTGTCACACCTTCCAATTACACTAGCTGGTTTTATTATAAATATCACTGAGCTTTGCAAGATAACTGTGAAACAGCAAGATAGAGTTTTTAAATTGTTTTAAGTAAACAGAAATGAAGTGAATTATCTGGTCTTGGGTCTTTTCCTATTTTTATTAGTAATTTTGAAAACCATGGATCATCATCTGGGCCAGACTTTAGAAAGGGCTTATGGGGCAGTAGCCCAGGGCCACAATTTTTGGAAATGCCCAAAGAGTTTTCTTGTTTGTTTGTTTTAATGAATGTGTGCTATGCTTTGTACTCACATAGGCCCATATCAAATTAATTGTATTAATATTTTGGGATTTTTATAAATGTAAACAATACTCAAGTATTTAAAAATAATGAAGTTATAGTAATTTCTTTGGCAACAACATGGAGCTACTACATTAAACCTACCATGCATCGATTTCTGTATAGGACCACTTAATAATGTCTTGTAACTTCCTTGTAAATCCAGCCATGATCATCATTTTCCTTCCATTTCACAGTTGTCCCTTATTTTGTGTTGGTCTATTACATAAAATAATAATAAAAAATACACTGAAGACTTGTGCTTGTAACGTAAACTCAAAGGGTAAGAGTGCTTCTGCGAAGTACCAAAAACGAAGGTGTAAACCCTATAAGCTGGAATTTCTGATACTTACGTGCAGCTATATTTTCATGTCTTACAACAATAGCCTCTTCAGAAAGTACTTCTGAAGTTGGTTGCTTAAGTGTGGGAGGTATTTCAGATGTTTGGTGGCAAATAAACCACTCAATGTTGCACTCGCTCTCTGCTAGAACTACTACTTCTAGACAATGCCGCCTGCATGTATGCATAATAAAACCCTCTCCATCTGGGAGGCTCAAAACAAAACGGGGCTCGCTTTTTGGAGAGCATGATCCAGAAGGCCATAGTTCTTCTTTCTGAAGGCTATAGTTCCTCAATAATTGTAATGTGATGATAAGGAGCTTATAGCCTGTTGTTGTGTTCCAATTGGGATGGACAAAACAAAGGCCAGCGAACCAGTACGATGAAAGATTACCATTATGGTGACATCGCCATGTCCACTTAACACCCACATCAGGTCAGCTGTTCTTAATTTGGTCACCAACCCCAGTTTAGCTTAGATCCAGGAGTCTGGACGCCTGGAGGGGGAAATTGTGACCTCTGTTTGTAAGCAAGGCTCCCAGGCTGAGGGGGCAAAATGGCCCGTTTGTGTTCTTGAGATGTTTGGGTCATTGTATCATGGAGGAGTGAGTGTCGTCCTCTCATTGGGTAAGAGAGTGGAGCTAATAAGCACCTACCTACCCAATAGGATCTGGTCTTGGGAATCATTTCACATCTGAATGAAATTATTTCAATGATGCTGAGAGGAAGAATACTTTTAGTGTTAACCCTAATGCCTTGTTTTTTAGATAAAATGATAAAGTACTTACCAAAACCCCTTAAAAGATCTTCACATTCCTGCGGTATCATAATGTCTCACTGGATATTCTAAAAGGTGCAGTATGTAAAATCAACTTTTTTGAGTTTTACATCATGTTATAATGTTATTCCCTCACCAAAAACATATCTTGAATGTTGCTTTGATTCTTTCATGCAGAGATCCATGTTTGAGAGATCCTGTAATCTCTCGTGGCAACCATCCAGCTGTGTAAAACATCTGGATGAACCTATCTCCGCCTTCAAGTATGAAGCTCCTCCTCTGAGCTGCAGTTTCCAGGCTTCTGCCACACAGAGCCCGTATCTATCTCAACTGCCCCTCTCAGCATTATTGTCTCAGTTGTGGGAAGACTGTCCAGCAGCTATTAGCAAACACCTGGTGGAACTTCACATCTACTGTGTTCACTATATGAGCTACTTCAGAGCAAAACTTGTAAAAATGATGCTAAAATGTTAATACAAGAGCGTTGTTTTGATGACTCCCTGAAGGCAGAGTTTTAGAAAGAGCAGGAGTTTTTAAAAAAGACAGACGCCCAAATTCCAGGCGTTAAATTACAAAGTCAAATTTCTTTTAAGTCATATTTGATATATGCAGCATTTTCATAACAGCTTAGGGTAACTTGATTGTGCTATAAAGTGGCACTATGTGCCTAGAAAATACACAGTCCTGCCCCTGTAATGCATTTTTAATTTTTAGACAAGTTGGTAAAGTGGACGCTGTCTTGAGTTATTTCAGATCTTCTGATCGCAGTCCCCCCCCACTCCTCCCACCCCAGCCTCCAGGCACTGAGCCTTAGCTGACCTTTACTCCTTGTCCTGAGGAGAGCGGCTTGCCCTCTCCACCTCTATGTTCCCTGGTCAGTCTGAACACTGTGGGAACCCCACCCCCGACCCCCACCCTGGTGCTTTGTATTGTTCTGGACAGATAAAGTCTCCTCCCCTCTGTTTCTTTCCTTTTCAATCTGTTTAGAGCGTGGAGTCCTGCTGTAAAAAAAATATCAGTGCACAGGATAAAGAGATGAGATCTCACAGCAGATTGTCCTCCTCCCTCACAGTGAGGCACCCAGGCACTGCCTCTGTCTGTTCACTGAGCACTGGGAGACACTGGTCCTTAATGGCAGGTGATAGCAGTGGTAACGAAGTACAAGTACT